TTTTGAAGAGTAAAAACAAGAGCAAGAAAAACAAAAGCAAAGACAGAAACAGCGTAACATGTAACAATACATACATTACAGATTTTCAAAACAATAGCAGATTAACAGTAATTGATATGTTATCTATGTTTATCATCAAATTTGTTGCTCAGATTAACAGATATAATTATGCAAGATGGGACATATGATTGAATATTACTACATGCTTTGAAGAAATCTTAAATTTTTGTTCTTGACTTTCATTTTCTTTTATTACCTTTTTTTGAAACATTTATTTTGAAGACAGTATAGTAACAATTGATATGATATTAAAAATGGTGCACATTTAGACCTCATGATGACAGGTATTGCAAGCACGGTTTTAGTATTACACATTGCTGTCCTCAATGTAGTTGCTTAGTTCACAGATACCAACAAGAGAGTTCAATCCAGCTATCCCCCTTCTGGGAATTTTCCCAAAAGAACTGAAAACATCATATCATAGTGACATATGTGAGTGTTTTTCTTACCAAACTCTATTCGATTTTGTCAAATGATTTTATTTGCATGTATTGAGCAATAATGTGGTTTTATCCTTTGCATAATTTGTCACTCTTAGACATATACTTCCTTAGGCAGTGACAGTGAACCTTTCAGAGCTTTCAACGATAACAGCCAGGTGAGGCACATGTGCCCCAGGTTCATCATCACTGGCATGGAGAGAGGAACTACATTATTTGGTCATGTTCCTCTGGCTTATAGAAGAAACAAAATTCCTGATTATCCAACTTACAATATAAATAATGTTTACAAGGGTCAGGCTATATGAGGAGCCATCCTGTGCAGATGTGAATACTGGTATAGTTTATTACTATTATGTTTAGAACCTATCAGCCCAGCTACTAAATTGAGATTTCTTCTGATCTTGAGTTTTCCAAATTACTTTTTTTTTTTGAGACAAAGTCTCACCATACAGTTCAGGATGGTCCTGAGGGATTCCTCCTGTGTCCTCCTCCTGAGTGTTGGGATTATAGGCATATACCACCAAGTCTGGCCCTAATCAGTTTTTAAAAGAAAATAGGATTGGAGGAACTACAGGCAGGAAGATGGCATGTTCAAGGCCAGCCTGAGCAGTTTAGCAAGATCCTGCTGCAAAATAAATGTAAAGAAGGGGTAGGAATGTGGCTCAGTGGCAGACCATTTGCTTAACATGTGTGAAGCCCT